TTTTTGAGACGGAGTCTCACTCTGTCCCCAGGCTGGAGTGCAGTGGCCAGATCTCAGCTCACTGCAAGCCCCGCCTCCCGGGTTCACACCATTCTCCCGCCTCAGCCTCCCAAGTAGCTGGAACTACAGGCGCCCACCACCTCGCCCAGCTAGTTTTTTGTATTTTTTAGTAGAGACGGGGTTTCACCATGTTAGCCAGGATGGTCTTGATCTCCTGACCTCATGATCCGCCCGTCTCGGCCTCCCAAAGTGCTGGGATTATAGGCTTGAGCCACTGCGCCCGGCCGCCTGGCTAATTTTTTCCGTTTTTGTAGAGATGGAGTTTCACCATATTGCCCAGGTTGGTCTTGAACTCCTGGGCTTAAGTCATTCTCCCGCCTCAGCCTCCCAAAGTGCTGGGATTACAGGCTTGAGCCACCGCGCCCGGCCAATTTGAGCTCTTAAGCCTTCGTTTCAGGAGCCTTGCGTAGCGGGATGCCGCTAGTGAGCAGCGCCCAGGCCTCACCGTCTGGTACTCCTCCATCCGCACGTAGTGCTCCACCAGGAAGCCGCAGACGTCCCCGATGCGGATGGTGCTGTCCGGGTCTGGTTCCTCTAGGAGCAGCTCACACTGCTTGATGGACTCCTTGGGGTCCTCCGTGTATGTCCTGCCGAGAGCAGAGATGAGGCCTGGACCCTGAAGCCCTGAACACCTACTGCTATCTGAGGTCGGAGGAGACTCGTGGCCTGTAAGAGGAGCTCTCCGGAATGGCAGGAGGAAACTTTCTATGAAGTTAATTCATTAATTCCTTAATTTGTTCATTCATAAATGAACTCACCCATTTAACACTCTCACAGGTCACTTGAATGCTGGGGCCTAGGCTTGGACATGAAGACCAAAGACTTGCAACCCTATTCCTGCTCCATGGAATAGTCCAGAGGGGGCTAGAAACCTCCGGACAAAGTGTGACCCAGAGGGGACGTGGTGCGTGTGGACAGGTTGCGTGGAGAGGCGCACAGCAGCCCTTGCTCGAGGCCGCTGGGAAGAACCCTCCAAGCAGAGAGGCTGGCCCGCACACAGGTTGTGCGTGTGGCCTGGCGTGAGGGGTCTGTGGCAGGGCAGGGTGTGTGGCCTGGGAGCTGGGGCGACACCAGGGAGGTGAGCCTGCTGGAACACAGTGTGGTCCAGAGCAGGTGACTGGAGCCGTGTGGAGCTCAGGCTCCAATGTCAGGAGGGTCCAGGGCCCATCTGGCCACCCACCGACTCGGCCATTCCAGACAGGTGCCTGGCCTGCCCTCTGACCCCTGGCACGTAGAAGGCTGCCCGCCCCGGCCCTCACATGTCGTCTCCCCTCCACCCACGTCCTGTACTATCCCTGACGACCAGCTGCTATTGATTCTCCTCCTCTCCTGCCTCCTGTGGCCTCAGCTCAGCAGACACCTGTGAGACGCTGACACCCCAGAATCGAGGTGCGCAAGCGGACCATGCCCTTCCAAGGGTCCAACATTATTCAAAGTACTTCTGGAACTCTTGTTTTGGAAAAGCTTCTCAGATAAGGAAGCGCCCTTGCCAGCTGAGACGGAGGTTGGGCCCTGAGGCGCTCGGGCCAGTGCCCACCGTGCTGTCCACACCGCAGCTGTCTGAAAAGCCGAGTCACTGCCCGTACATAAAGACGGGAGGTATTCAGATACACTTAGAATCTCGGCCTCTCCTGAAAACTGAGACGATTGGCTGCCTGGGTCTCCTCTCCACAAGCTTGGAGCTGGAGGCAGTTGACCTGTGGAGAGGCACGAGCCCACTGGCCACCCTGGTCCCCACCACCCCAGGTCACATAGCGGCCCTCACTCAGGACTCCCCTGCCCGGCCCCTGCACACGCTAAGCAGGTCCATGGCTCCCCAGACACACCTCTCCTGTACCAGATCCGCCGCCGCCTCCCGCTCCCCACCAGGCTTCTCTCTCAGCATCTCTGGGGTTTCCAGAAGGCCTTCCCAAGGCTGTGCCCGGCCCTGAGGGCCCCAGGAGGAGGCGGGGTGTGTCTTCAGCAGCAGTGCTGTCCCGAGCGAGCTCCCATCTGCTGTCCCGCCCCTCTGCTGGCTGCGGTTTCCTGTGGTCAGCCCTGACCCTGTAGTCACATCTGCCCCGGCCTGGCCCTGCTGGCCCTGGGGGCGCACCTGCGGGCCTGGATGAACCTCTTCACCAGTGCCATCCTGCTCTGTAGCTGCGCCAGCCTGGTTTCCTGGTCCAGGGGGCTCTTGGCCTTGGCCTTGGCCAGGCACTTGTAGGCCTCGGTCAGTGCCCCGTGGGCTTTGTCGTAGTTCTGGTATTCATCGATCTCCACCTGTACGGATGAGACCCGTCAAGACCTGCTGGGCTCCACAGCCCTCCCTGGGGCCCCGCTGGCATCCCAGGGAGGGCCTGCACCTGGGCACAAGCGTCGTAAAAGCCGGCCAGGAGGTCCAGGGCCCGCCCCTTGGTGTAGAAGCTGATGATGTTCCTCATGATCTCCGGCTCCTTCCGCCAGTCGAGGGACTGCAGGTAGTTGGCAGCCATGATGTAGATTTCCTTCTGCCTGGACACGCTCGCGAAGAACGTAATTTTCTCTGTGTCTCCGGATTTGAGCAGCGCCCTCATGGCCTAGAGAGACGGCCAGGCTCAGGCAAGCAGGGGCTGGGCCAGGACAAGCACAAGGGACCCGGAGCAGGAGCTCTCACAAGAAGAGGGGCTCAGGGCTTCCCGGTAGAGAGATCTAGTGGTTGTGCTCCTCCCGGCCAGAAAGGCTCAGCCCTGGCTCAGGGGAGTCACAAAGGCAAATGGAGATGCACGCAGGGGGCCCCAGCCTAACTGCCTGGGAAGCAGTCGCGGGGCTGGGGCCGGGAGAGGGGCCGGCGCTCACCTTCAGCTTGTTGCCGGCCTGCGTGTACTTCTTGGTGGCCAGGTGGTAGCTGCCTTGGCGCATGCAGCAGTTTGCTATCTGCTCCAGCAGCTCCCGCCGAGACTCCTCAGGCAGGTCCGAGGAGTCCTTGGCCACGGTCATCTTTTCCGCCATCTCCTCGGTGATGCTCATGTTTTGCTCCAGGCATAGCTGCAGGGCTTCGCGATACTGCAGAGGTGCAGAGATGCCACGGGGCTGCCGAGGGGGCCACGACCCGAAGTGCGCCCCTCATCTGCCACCGCTTCAGAGGAAACCAGGCCCCTCGGCTCAGTGGCGGCCTCTGTCTAGCTGGGGTGGGTATGAAGGGGACAAGGATGTCTCCCCCCGCGCCTCACCAACCTAGTCATTGACGTGACTTTCTCACGCTGTTAACATTCCAGAGTGGAACGAAGGAAACAACAGTCTCAAGTGATATATGCTCAAAAGAATATTATGTTTGGGAGAAAAGAAAACTGGTAATTTTCTTCTATAAGTCTAAATTTTTTAAATTAAATTTTAAAATTAAAATTTTGAGACAGGGTCTCACTCTGTCACCCAGGTTGGAGTGCGGTGGTGCAATCACAGCTCACTACAGCCTCCACCTCCCAGGGTAAGGTGATCTTCCCGCCTCAGGTTTTGTATTTTCAGTAGAGACCGGGTTTTGCCGTGTTGCCCAAGCTGGTCTTGAACTCCTGGACTCAAGCAATCTGCCTGCCTTAGCCTCCCAAAGTGCTGGAATTGCAGGCACGAGCCACTGCACCCGCCTGATTTTTTCAACATTTTAAGAATTTTTTTGTTTGTTTTGAGATAGGGTTTTGCTCTTGTTGCCCAGGCTGGAGTGCAATGGCACAATCTCGGCTCACAACCTCCACCTCCTGGGTTCAAGCCATTCTCCTGCCTCAGCCTCCTGAGTAGCTGGGATTACAGGCATGTGCCACCACGCCAAGCTAATTTTGTAATTTTTTTTTACTAGAGATGGGGTTTCTCCATGTTGGTCAGGCTGGTCTCGAACTCCTGATCTCAGGTGATCTGCCCGCCTCGGCCTCCCAAAATGCTGGGATTACAGGAGTGAGCCACCACGCCCAGCTCTCATTTTAAGAAAAATTTTGGCCAGGCACGGTGGCTCACGCCTGTAATCCCAGCACTTTGGGAGCCTAAGCGGGCGGATCACAAGGTCAGGAGATCGAGACCATCCTGGCTAACACGGTGAAACCCCATCTCTACTAAAAATACAAAACATTAGCCAGGCGTGGTGGCGGGCGCCTGTAGTCCCAGCTAGTTGGGAGGCTGAGGCAGGAGAATGGTGTGAACCCGGGAGGTGGAACTTGCAGTGAGCCGAGATGGTACCACTGCACTCCAGCCTGGGTGACAGAGTAAGACGCCGTCTCCAAGAAAAAAAATTTTTTTAATATTCTTGAGAATATGTCTTAGGCCAGGCATGTTGGCTCACGCCTGTAATTCCAGCACTTTAGGAGGCCAAGGTGAGAGGATCACTTGGGCCCAAGAGTTTGAGGCCAGCCTGGGCAACATAGTGAGACTCCCATTTCCACAAGAAAAAAAACAGTAATAACCCACAAATATATATGAAGTAATAACACATTTATATTAAGAAAAAGAATATGGCCGGGTGTGGTGGCTCACGCCTGTAATCCCAGCACTTCAGGAGGCCGAGACAGGCAGATCACGAGGTCAGGAGATTGAGACTATCCTGGCCAACATGGTGGAACCTCATCTTTACTAAAATACAAAAATTAGCTGGGCATGGTGGCACGTACCTGTAGTCCCTGCTACTTGGGAAGCTGAGGCAGGAGAATCACTTGAACCCAGGAAGTGGAGCTTGCAGTGAGCTGAGATTGCGCCACTGCACTCCAGCCTGGTGACAGAGTGAGACTCCGTCTCAGAAAAAAGAAAAAGAATTCTGTCTTGGAGGCATTTCCATCTCAGTACGCTGGGGGCTGCCACATGCTCTCTGCTGCGTAGACGTCCACAGTGCTGAGGAAGCCCTGGGGACTCAACCGGCCTGGTGACAGACACAAGGGCCAGTGTTCTTGCCGCGTAAACCCTCTGCCGAGCACGCCCTGTGCACACGCCACTCACACGTGCATCAACGTGTCTGTCAGGATGAACTCTCGAGGGAAGGGGAGGCTGGGACAGGGAGACCTTGTCTTGTGACAGGTTCTGCCTGCTGTGCTCCACAGGGCCTGGGTATATCTGCTTCCCATGATAATCCAGTAGGTTTTCTTACCTTTTCACCCTTAATAGCCCAGTAAAAAATGGCATCTCTGTGAATTTTGATCTGTATTCCTATCATGAATAAAGCGAAGCATTTTATATTTGGGAACCACCCATATTTCCATTTGAATAAACTGTTCCTGGCCAGTCACAGGGCTCACGTCTACAGTCCCAGTGCTTTGGGAGGCTGAGGCAGGAGGATTGCTTGAGCCTAGGAGTTCAAGACCAGTCTGGGCAACATAGCAAGACCCTGACTCTATGCGAAAACTGTTAAAAACTTAGCTGGGGATGGTGGCCCACGCCTGTGTCCCAGCTACGCAGGAGGAGCGAGGGTTGCTTGAGCCCGGGAGGTTGAGGCCGCAGTGAGCCAAGATGGCACCACCACAATCCAGCCTGGGCAAGAGTGAGACACTGTTTCAAAAAAAAAAAAAAGGCTAAGATGGTAAATTTTGTGTTATGTGTATTTTTACCACCCCCTCCCCACCATAGGTGAGTGCAATTCCCTGTGTATGATCTGATGCCAGCATGAAGGATGGCAAGTCTACACTCATGGACCTACTGGGTGTGCTGTACGTGAAATCCAGGGCACCATAGCCTTCCTCGAGAACTCATAACCGAGCAAGCAGCCATTCCCACAGCCCCTGGGGACAGGGGACCTGAGCTACGGAGCCTGCGTGGAGCCGAGCCCAGGCCCCACTGGCCCCGTACCTTCCTGGCGGCCAGCAGCAGCTCCACTGCCCTCTCATACTGACGGTGCTCGATGAAGAAGTCGGAGCAGCGGGCCAGGAGCGCAGGGTCTGATGTCTCATCCAGGTCCTCTGCTATGAGCTGCAGGGCCACAAACTGCTGGGTGGTAAAGGCCAGCTCCAGGGCCTTGGAGAAGTGGCCAGCCTGCGGATGTGGGGGCTCTGAGCAGCTGCCCAAGGCCTGGGGGACCAACACCTCGGAGGCCTCGCACAAGCAAAGGCCCCCTGACCTGCTGCCCTCCCCAAGCCCCCACCAGTGGCTGGCCCTCACCTTGTGGTACAGCATGACCGCCCTGTCCATTTGCATGCCCTTCTCCTCATAGTATCGGGCCGCCTCGATCATGTCCTCGGGGGAGCTCAGCAGGGCCAAGTTCATGAGCTGGTCGTCCAGGCTGTTCTCCTGCAGGGAGGGAGGCAGGGCCCTGAAGCGGCTCGCACTGGCTTCCCCAGGCCCGCTGAGATTCTGGGATGTGGCCGGGTGTGAACCCACCCCTTTACTTTGATATACTGCTCAGCGATCTCTGCGGTTGTGGGTTTTAAGAAGTTAATGACTTACTAGGTTTGTCTATAAGGATTTTCTGATGCTCTGGATTCTATTTCACAGAGCACTGCAAGAAATACCTGACAGGAGAGATGCTTCTGGAAGCGAGAGCCCGGGCTGGGACATTTGTGTGGGTGCAGAATGCCCAACAGCTTTCTAGGAAGGGTCTGCTGTCTGCAAGTCCACAGGCCGTGAGCCAGCCTCACAACCGGCTCAGGAGCCCTGGAGCCTGGGAAGCATCTGGGGACAATGCTTTGCAACCAATGTCAGATGGGAGCGGCCAGGGGTAGGCGGGTGGGGCGGCAGGGTGAGGAGTGAGTGGCAGACACCAGCCAGACCACGTGTTGCTGACACGATTCTCTCAGTCCACTTTTCCACTTGAAGCTGTCTTCAGAGGACCTCGAGAGGCGCTGGCTGCCCACTCCAGCCCCGTGGTACCTTGCACAGGCGGATGGCATTCTTGAAGGCCTGCGCCCGGGTGTAGAAGTGCACCGCCTGCCCCACCTCCTCCTGGCTCTCGTACTGGCGTGCGAGGTGGTAGGAGGCCGCCAGGTTTCCTGTCTCGTTGGCGATTTGCGCAGCCTAGAAACACAAAGAACACAAAGATGAGACTCGGTGGCCTTGTGTCTGCCTCACGTCCGCCTGGCTGGCTCCCCGGCAGGGCCCTCACCTTCTGGACATTGCCCTGGAAGCAGTGGATGCGGACCAGGGAGAAGTGGTCCTGGGCCAGCTCATAGTAGTGCAGCGCGGCGTCCATCTCGCCCTGGCTCTCCAGGTACTGCGCCCACCACCGCCACAGGGTCCTGTGGGCAGCCCCAAGGCTGTGGGTTCTCCATCCGAGTCCCGCTCCAACCCGGAACGGCCCCCACCCTGCCCCTGTGCCACTCTTAGAGTGCATGTCACCGGACCTGCAAACAGGCTGGGCCAAGAGTGAGGAGCCTGGGCTCTGTCCAAAGGGAGGGCTCGGCTCAGGGCCCTGGCATACCTCTGAGGAGCCGGGGGATGCTGCCCACTCATGCAGGAAGCACGGGAAGGGGAGCTGCCTGAGCAAGCCCTGGGATCCCCGCAAACTTCCAGGATGGAGTGCGGTCCCGCCAGCCCTGGTAGGAACACTCACTTATCCTTCATCTTATTCACATAGAGCTCCAGGGATGGCAGGTCCTCCGACAGCATCCTGGGCACCTCAAAGCGGTGAGTGTCTGACTTCTCGTAGCTGTGAGAGGAGACAGAGGTCCTGGTTCCCTCCCATCACAGCCCCACGGAACCAGATGGGCTGAGAGGCAGCGTCGGTGAAATGCATCAGAGCGGCGGCCCTTGGGGTGTGGGCTCCCAGCCTGCAGCTCCGCGGAGCCTGAGCACACATGGCCAGGGGCAGTGGGGGCTTCCTGCACTGTGGGGGCCCGGGGGGCGGGTCGCCCATCCACATCCCAGGAACAGGTCTAAGAGCAGCTCCTCCTCTGGAGAGGGTGACGTGGGTTTGTCTGTCCTCAGGAGATACCAAGCCCATCTGTGCTCGGCAACCGAAGGACACACGTCCTTCTCCTGCCTTGAAACCCGGGTGGCCCAAAACAGAGGGGGCAACCCCACATCCAGAAGCTTCCTGCCGAGAAGGCGCCACCTCCCTGAGACAGATGCCTCCTCTGAGAACCTCCCTGGCCACCTCACCATAGCACACACAGAGGTCTCAGGAGCCAGGACCATCCAGAGAGACTGGGAAGAGGCCGCGAGGGCTGCACTCACTAACTGAGGGCCCGGCTGCAGTCGGCACTGGCCTCCAGGTGCCCGGCATAGTGGTGGTAGGTGCTGCGCAGGTGCACGCGGTCGTGGCACTCGGCTACCTTGAGGGCCTTCTGCCACTGCCCTGCAGCCTGGTAGAACTTGTTCAGGAGGTCGTAGCGCTTGCACTTCCTGTACAGCTGTTCGGCGTCCTCCTGAGGAATGAGGATGGGCAGGTGTCGTGCAGCCTCCGCAAACCCATGCTTCAAACACACTGTTCCACGCCAGGCCACCGGTCACCGCACCTTCCCACACTGCCAAACACACTGACACGGGGCTGACACGGGCAGAGCAAATGCCACACCCCCACAGGGCATCCCTGTCCCACGGCTGGAGAGTGAGATGCACCACCAAGGGGTGGCCCCACCTCCCAGAGCCCCCCACAGAAGTCCCGTGCTCAGCCCTGCTGACCTGGGGGTCTCTTGGGCGCTCTGTTCCAGACCCGCACGCCTGACAGGCACACACCCTGGAGAGCCGGCACCCGCCTCACCTCCACCCGCCTCCCCTCCACCGCCTC